CAGGATGTCTAATTTTTCTATCTTCTATATCTCCATGGTGTGTGCAGGTTTTTTTTTTTCTCCTGGCACTATCCCTGTTCAGATTCTTTCGCGGAAAAACAACATTGTACCACCTAATTACCCTGTTATTTTGTGTTGGTGCCACTATATGGAACTTTTCTATCTTCTGTATCTCAATGGTTTTATCAGGGTTTTGTTGCCCTAACAGTTTCCCACTTTGGATTTATATATTTGATGAAATATCACACTGTACCGCCCATTTCACCTTTTCTTGTATGAACCAACCATTTCCCCTGGTGTTTCGTTACTTATCTCAATACACGTGTTTTGTTCATCTTTCTTAGTACCACGGGATCATTTTGATTCGGTATGGTGTTCAAAACATAAAATATTTAGCAGCCCCGGAAAACATAGAATATTTCCTCCTCTGGTCTACTCCTGGGCCGGTAATATACTCGCTCCAACTTTTCTATCTTGACGGGCATGCTGCAAAAAAGGAGAAAACATGCACTTTGATGTTTGCACAGCATTAAACGTGCCTTGTAGCTTTTCTATCTTTAGGGGCGTCCTGGTATTTACATCAAAAATGCACATCAAGCATTGATGATAGACTAATTGTGTGGAAATAGCTTGCATATACACTAATTGTGTGGAAATAGCTTGCGTATATGCATAAAAATGCGTTTTCTTGACAAAATCATCTTAAGGCATACTTGAAAGTTGGCAAAAACCCAGCGAAAAGTCAAGAAAAGCGTGAAAATACGATGAAAAACCATGGTGGAAGGAAGAACAGATTGAACATATAAAGACAAACCCAACAAAAAACCAAGAAAAAATTGAGAAGAATAGCTAATAATGTGCATTTTTGATGTAAATACCAGCACGCCCCTAAAGATAGAAAAGATACAACACAACGGTATGGGGCACATGTTCAACCTGTTCTTCCTTTCACATTTTTTTTCATATTTCCAAGCTTTTCTTGTTTTTTTTGTTGGGTTTTCCTTCTTATGTTCAACCTATTCTTCCGTTCACCATTGCTTTTCTTCATATTGTCAGACTTTTCTTGACTTTTTGTTGGGTTTTTCTTCGTATGTTTAACCTGCTCTCCCTTTCACCCTTGTTTTTCTTCATATTCTCACGTTTTTCTTGACTTTTTGCTGGGTTTTTTCCCACTTTCAAGTATGCCATAATATGATTTTATCAAACAAACCCATTTTTATGCATGTATGCAAGCTATTTCCACACAATTAGTGTATCATCAATGCTTGATGTGCATTTTTGATGTATATAAATACCAGCACGCCCTAAAGATAGAAAAGCTACAACACAACGGTACGGGGCACATGTTCAAACTGTTCTTCCTTTCATCATGTTTTTTCATACTTCCAAGCTTTTCTTGTTTTTTTTTGTTGGGGTTTCCTTCTTATGTTCAACCTATTCTTCCGTTCACCATTGCTTTTCTTCATATTATCAGGCTTTTCTTGACTTTTTGTTGGATTTTCCTTCTTATGTTGAACCAATTCTTCCGTTCAGCAATGCTTTTCTTCATATTATCAGGCTTTTCTTGACTTTTTGTTGGGTTTTTCTTCGTATGTTTAACCTGCTCTCCCTTTCACCATTGCTCTTCTTCATATTCTCAAGCTTTTCTTGACTCTTTATTGGGT